AAATCTATAACTGATTTTAGGGAGGTAATTTCACAGATCTTATGATTCTTTTACAATTTTAGTGAAAAGATAAAAAAAATCAATAGGATAAAATGAAAATTAAAAGTAAAAGTTCGATGTATAGATTACCATAAAATTTCAATCGGTCATTTGCAACGTCACACTTACGCCCGGTGTCATCTTTCTTTGATCCTCCCCCTGATGTTATATTAAGAGATGAGAATCAGAAAATGTTATGATCATTAAACTGATACGCTCCTACATGTATTATGATATCTGATATGTACTTGCTTAAGTTCTGGATTTTTTTTTCTCTTGAGAAATACAAGCAAAGAGCTCTCAGTAAGAAGAGTTATGATGTACATTTGAATTTACTGCTCCTCGGGAAAAAAAATTAAAAAAAAATTTACACAACATGACAGAATTTAGCAATATCTTCTATATTTATGAAGTCATGTGTATTTACTAAATATAGTAAAGTGCAGAACATCGCATTTATATGTATGTACATGTATATACATGGAGAGAGAGAGAGAGAGAGAGAGAGTTAAACTAAAACAGAATAATGAGTATAAATGTATTTATTTAATTCTTAACTATATACCTTACTTAACTATAAATTGCATTGTACATTTCCTCAAATGGAACAATGATTTAAAAGAGCATTGATCAATAAAAAAAAATGTGGTTTCCACGGGGTGAGCCCTTTTATAATCGAGATTATTTACATACACTTTTTTCATTCATTACTCCCTTTACAACTATTGCAGATCCACGTGATTAACAAGTCATGCAATGAGGTTAGAACTTAATTCAGAGCTTGTACTAAAAAAATGAAAACAATTACTACTTTAGTGTACGTTTGCTTGCTTTTATTATTCAATTAAACAAGCACTTAAAAAGATTGTTGGCAATATCCCATCTGTAGATACGTCGATTTTTTTTCCTAGGCACACCTTAAACTGTTACAAATTAAGAGCAACGTAAAAAACAATGAATTCAATAGATAAGCAACACCCGTTACATTCAAACACATAAGTAACCGATGACACCGGGAAATACTAGGCTATGAAAACACTACAGTTTTGTCTGAATATCGGAAAACTGACACCGGTGATACATTTTACTTGGACTGGGGCGAAATGACTATGGAACAGATGTTCGATGTATAGATTACCCACAAAATGTCAATCGGTCATTTGCAACGTCACACTTACGCCCGATGTCATCTTTCTTTGATCCTCCCCCTGATGTTAAGAGATGAGAATCGGAAAATGTTATGATCTTAAACAATATCATAATGACAGTTCGGGGGAAAAACTTTCTTGACATAAATTTAGCGATACGTTCACTAGTGTCTTACTTTCTGAATTCAGTTGGAATCTGACATCTAAAGACTATACAATGTATAAATAGAAATCTATTTTAGCGCCGACAAAGGTTTTGAACAATCCTAAGTTCAAGTAAATACTGAGTATGCCAAGAACATAAGTAAAAGCCTGGGCCATGTACGTAACTTCAGACTGCAAATTCAGAAAATCCATAACAAAATAAAGTTAGAAAGTACTTCAGAATCGAGTACAAAGTTGATGGAAGTTGTAACAGAGATGGGAATAGAGAAAGGGGAAAAGAGAAAGAAGATATAAGCGAGATAAAGAAAAAAAAGTCTTAAGATAATTTGAATGAAGGGAGTCTTGCTAGAATGTTTCCACTGCTGACCCCAATGTATCATATTTAAAGTACACATTGTATATATATGAGAAGGTATTACTTTTCTTCACTTGCATTTATCTCTTTCATGTGCATCTTGCATATTGTCTTGTTTTTGTAAGTATTGTACATAGAACCTCATTATTCTCTTTAGAGAAGTGGACAGGCTTTCGCCTACATCCACTTCTCTTTGCAAGCCTTCATGTTTTGATTCTGGAAAACGTGTAAATCTCGAACCGGTGACGGTCTACACTTCAACTGACATTTCGTCTAAAATACGTCTGAATGTACGTAATAGACGTGTTATATTAACAATTTTAACATAAATACACACAATTGTCACAAGAAAAAAACTGACCTTTAAGTGTTGTTAATCCATTTTCACAAGTTCTCCATCCCGGATTTAAACTAATCTTTATCTACCACAGCTTATTAGAAAAAAATTAAAATTTTAAGTCGGATAATTTGGAAAAATTGGCGAAGACCTAATTTAATGTTCAAAAAAGTTTTAACAATTCACTTTTGATTTAGCATATTATTCAAAATTAATATTATTACCTATACTTATTTTTACTATTTTAATACAATTTAAATGTAAATTTAAGCTTAAAAAATACTTCATTACTTCCTCACTGACATTACTAAAAAATATTTTCTTTTATTTTTAAACGATATTAACTCTACCTTTCCCGAGAAATGAAAAAAAAAGATTTAAAACAAAGATCAAAAGAATTTGAACGAAACTTGAGGAAATACTGTCTCGTTAGTTTAAACAGAGTACACGATTTCTCTCGTTTCAATATTATTTTGTAAAAATAGTTTCCATTTTTATCCGAATTAGAGATTTATGAATACTTCAAGAGTTACTTGCAAATAATTTAAATCCGGGATGGAGAACTTGTGAAAATGGATTTACAATACTTAAAGGTCAGTTTTCTTGTGACAATTGTGTGTATTTATGTTAAAATTGTTAATATAACACGTCTATTACGTACATTCAGACGTATTTTAGACGAAATGTCAGTTGAAGTGTAGACCGTCACCGGTTCGAGATTTACACGTTTTCCAGAATCAAAACATGAAGGCTTGCAAAGAGAAGTGGATGTAGGCGAAAGCCTGTCCACTTCTCTAAAGAGAATAAGAACCTCATGTACTTTTAATTGATTTGAGAGAACAATTTGAACTCGGAATGATAGAAAGTTTAGGACCTAAAGATCGATCTCCCTGGCCCCACAACTCACGAACAACCGAAGTCATGACTTTCACACTAAATGACGTATTCTCATAATCATTTTCATTTTCCTCCTTTTTTTTTTTTTTTTTTTTACTCAGTGTACTTATTACTTTTCACTACTCCCAGTATTAAAACAAAACAATCCTTTTATTAAATGAATAATGATAAAAAATGCATCAAGCTTCCAGACGGACGTCCTCGTGAGAAATAGACGGGAATGTCAAATCCGCGCAATTCTAATCACTGCTTTACAAAAACATTAAATATTAAAACGATAATCATCACAAAAATACTGATAAAGAATTTTTATTGCATTCTTTCTCTCTCCGATATTATTTATTCTCTTCGCCCTCGTTTCTATCTAAATCTGAAGAATCGGGATCGATATTTTGAACTATCCCGAGTACAATTCGAATTAAGACTTCATTATCTTTTAGCATACAATAGTCCAACGAATCGACAGCACCAGAAGTTAGGAGGGAGAAGAATTAAATGTAGTGCATTATCGCTCATAGCAGAAGATGCCCTTCTATTCCAGCGTATTTGCATTCTTATTACACAAACACCTAAGATAAATTCCGGAAATACATTTGCTGTTCTGTCGCTAAAATGGAACGGAATTACTTCTATATTTAGACTTTTATTGGAAATGGCTGCTCGTTAGACGCTTGTTTATCTTTAACAGCAAGTCAAGATCGCCTGTGATGTAAAATTCATGATAAAAAGCAGAATGCAATCGTCCAGGATCCTAACAATGAGATAGCGGAACCATTCGAATACATCCTTTACAAACGCTTACACGATTTAGATTTTAAAATATACTTTTTGTAACTTTTATATCTTTTTTCATTGAAGAATTATAACATCCTCCTCGTAGAAGTTAAAATAATGGGAAAAAACACTTAATTGATTTTTTTGTTTGTTTGTATGTTGTTTAACGTCCCTCTCGAGAATTTTTCACTCACTTAATTGAAACAGTCATAAAAAGTAGGAAGAGAATGTTGGCCATATTTTCCCTTCATATAGTTTTCCCTTCAATAGTGGAGGGTCTGTTATAATCATGGATAAAACATGTCTAACTGCCAATATCATTTTTAACCGGATACCCGAGTATCTTATTTGAAATTGTTTAATAAAAAAAATTAACTATGGGTTCTATCATTCGTTTCAGTAAATTTAGTTTTTTTATGTTTTTTTTTTTTTTTTTTTTTTTTTTTTGAAAATATATAACTGATCGAATTCTAATCAGACTAATTCTGTTATTAAGCATCCGAGTCGCAGATGCAATTTAAGTAATGTGTGTGATTAATTGATCGATACAGTGTATCCAATTGCAGCATTCATTGCATCATTAGATCTTGTGAAACGTCAGCGAGCACATTTGGGGTTATATTTAACAGTAATTCATATAGTAAACAAAATTTGTTTAAAGTATCATAAACTTGTATAGCACTGAAAAAAGAAATTATTCTCAAATCTGCATTATTTCATTTCTTTTTTTTTCCCTCCGTATTTTTTTTTTTTTTTTTTTGGAGGGGGGGGGGTGCGGAGGCTTTTGTACGAAGATATTGCGGCATCTTTAAAGGTCTTAGGTCTATCCTTAAACCCCTTTCATTACTTTTTATATTTTCTCGAGGTTCAAGCAGCTTGAAGACCTTCCGGCTGATCACTGATTTTATTTGTAATATCTAAATGACAACGGCTTGGAAATCAATGAATTCAGAATTACTGTATTTGTATTAAAAAATGAACTTAATCATTTGAGAGTCGTAAAATCCTAATACGAATGGTACTGTGTGGTGTTTGTACAGATAGGAAATGCTTATTTTAATGTCTGTATTGATGATACTAAGTCTTCAGTTTATGTTTTTTTGGTTCTTATCGACGTGATATTGACACAGTGAATATGCCAATTAAAACTAATTTCTAGTTTTAATCAATATTTTATCGAAAGAAAAGTCTTTCCTTATTTTTCATGATATTTGTTGTTTATGATATTGGGGTTTTGTGAAAATTGATGACGCAATGATGATGATAACAAAATTAAAGAACGTACCTTGGAAGTCTTTTCTGGCAGCACTGATGTTGGTAACAATATTGGCAATATGTCCCAAAACGGTGGCAAAAAGAAGAAGCCCAAATATCATTTCAAATATTATGAAAACGTACTGCTGATTGGTTGCCGGATTTGGCAAATTACCAATCGTAGTCAGTGTTAAGGTGCTCCAGTATAGCCCTTGCAAATAAGTCCTAAATACGTCATCTGAATCTTTCGGAATCTCCCATGTTTTGGAATCTGGGTCAAGTTTCGTTGCAACAATAGAATACAAACAAGCGTTCCAATGAAACAGAGCCAACAAGTAATGCATTAACGTTGCCGTCCTCATGAGGTTTGGATAATTAGTATGACGTTCAGTTCTGTCTAAAAATGTCCAGAATCTATAAACCTTAACAAGTCGAAAACAACGTAAAATTGAGCAAATTCCAATGGAGAGATAAAGAAAATCTAACGGTAACAGACATAAACAATCAATGTAAAAGATAGTACTATTTGTGTAATGTAAACGGAGTTTAGTCGTGTCTGTCTGTAACACACCGTCTTCCAGATACCCTGTCCGGAAGTGGAAGGCTACATCCAAAATATAAAGAAGATCAGCTGTGTAATCAAGCGTGAACCACATCGCCAAACTGTCACTGTCTACTTCACGAAAAGCAAATCGGTAAATTATCACCCAAAAATTGTAAAGAAACGCAATACTGACGATGGAGGACCACCAATAGGCAAGACGACCGGAAGGGTCAAACACAAACGTCCAGTTACATCCGTCACGATCGGATGAATTAGTAAGAGTCTCGAATTTATCCGTTCGATGGCTCTTTTTGCCGAATTTTTCTTCTATATCTTTCTTCCGCTGTTTCCGTAGTTCCCGCGGTGTAATTATTTCCCCTGAGCGAACTTTTTTCAGCAGTTGTAGATCACCGCGAGCAGCGAAACTTTTTGAACGAGTCTTCCTGTCTAATCGCGTGCCGAAAAGATCAAGTAGACTGTTTTTGGACGTAGACCGTGATTTCTGCTCTACAGTTCTATTAGAATAGGCTGGCGAAGACAAACTGATTCTTCCGGTCAGGCTAGAGGAGCTCATTCGATCCCCCACGATCCGCCACCGAGAATGAGGGGCGGAGGAATTAAAGACAGCAGAGTTTGATGGAAGATGGCGTGGTCCATTTGCAGTCTGGTTTGCCATCTTTTCGTTTTTGTGTTCATCGTTCGGTAACGGTTTTTTCTCTTTGTTATCAACAGCTAATTCCTCTTCCACGTTTTCTTCGTCTGTATGGTCATCTGCTTTTGCACAAGGTGTATATTTCACTGTAACACCAGAATCACTAGCGCGCTTGCGTGCTGTCACCGTGATAGACATCTGCAATTAGAGCAAATATTCGTTTCTTTTTCCTGATTATTTGTTATGCATTCCGCTGCTATTTGTTTAGCATAGTTATCATATTTGATGCGTCCAGGGCGTATTGGGTAATACTCTGATTAAAATGGGAACGACAATCTTTTATCCACAAGTAATCGTAAAACAAACGTGTTCGCTGAGCCACGGTGCTAGTTCATCAGACGGCGGAGGTTGTCAGCTTGGAGAAGGAAATAACAAAATGTGACACTAATAACAATCAGGTCATCAGCAAGTGCCCGATTCGCAGGACAAGTTTTAAAGGAATTCCATAAAAAAAAAAATTATGAATCTCAGCCAGGATTGGAATTTGAAGTGAAGGCGCTAAATTTTCCAGACGATTCGAGATTTTGGAAGTATTTGAAACGCACACAATAGTCGGGAGACATAATATTCTTTTTATCAGATCATAGTGAATAATCCTTACTAAAGAGGTTGTTGCACGCAATTCTGTCACAATCGCGAGTTTCTTGTTTTCAAGACGACTATCTTTTGGCGGGAAGCTGCACACTTAGTATAGTAACGTAAAATTATTCCCAGCCTCCACGGTAACATATGGTGTTTTCTGAGCTAAGTCGCTCGGCTCTTTTATCGACTTCAGAGTCTCTTGCTGGATATGCTAAAAATTCCACATTTAACCACTGTCACAAATTCATCTACTCATTGCTTAGTTGGCCAGTGTAGTGTATAGCTGATATCTGTATCAAAAAATAAATGATGATGAATTAATGAGCTAGCAGGATAAATACGTATGTACACAGCCTCTGATGGTACACTAGGTGAACACACTGTCAATTAATTGTCAATAAAATAACGATATATCACGCTCGTTTTCTGGGATGAAGTATTGACAAAAGTTTGATATATGATGAAGACGGAAACGTCGAATCGGTGGATTTGTCCGTTTTCTCTTAAAACTTAACCATCAGCACATTTAGAATCTTTAGAAAAATAGGAGATTTAATTTTAGGAAATGTTGGGATTTTCTCTAGAAATAATAAGGGTTATCCAAATGTAACTTTTTTTCTGGTTGTTACATGCCATTTGATTGGATAGAAAAATTAACCTGCTTTGCCTACGTTACAATATGACTTACGTCAAAAACGTATCAAACCGCTTGGCGTCACATTTAAATTTTGCATAATTTAAAGATTTTTTGAAGCGAAATTGCTTTATTATTTTATTTAATTATAGAAGTTAAATTAAATTGAAGTTAAATTATAAGGGATCAATTTAATAGCTACCCAAGTTATACGTACTTGTTTAACCTTGGTTGAACAGTTTACGAATTTTTTAGAAACCGCTTCGTGGTTTATATTTAGCGTAAACTGCCCCAACCCTTAACTTGGATAGCTATTAAATCCATTCCTTAAGAAAATCAAAAGTTTATTTTATTCGGGTGGGTGAAAATCTAGAGCTGTTCCGGTCTTCCTAAAAGAATGTCAGTGTATATGTAGATACGAATATAGATAATGGTAAAACAGGTGTTTGATTATATCTTCGATTTCCTTGATACCGGCTCACATAAGCTTATCCCTGTGTTCTATATCTACAGGTATGCTTTACTGTGCAGTTATCACTCAAACACTAGGTTTATATTTGGATAGATATTGAACAAGATTCATCTAGATTATTCTTTTGTTTACAATGTTCTTATTTATTTATTTATTTATTTGTGCTTTTTTTTGAATATTGAAATTTAAAATGTCATAACTTATTTTATAAATAGAATATTTCTGTATAATATATCACTGTTTTAATGATAATAAAACATTGCCAAATACTTCTTCACTTCTATTGAATCTTCTTTACTGCTTAAAAATAAGCATATTCCTTTAACTTACAAGTATAACCTTAGTATGGTCATGCGGTATTTATATAATCAGTGAAAAATTACGCTATAAAAATATTTTTTTGAAAATCCTTGCAGCGATTAAGGCAAACAACTGAGTTTCCATAATAAAAATAAAACTATAGAGATTTTTTTACGCTCTAGGACTTCAGTGTCTACAGGTTCGTGGAGGAAATAACGGTCTTGTTACCATTTCTTTTTTTTTTTCTTCCTTAGCCGATGTCTTTGCACAGTATTTTTGTCCCATGAGTATGTAAAGGAAAAAAAGTTGCAATGCCAATGTGTTTAATAAAACAACAATGTTAACCATTTACTACACGAAAGAGAGAGGTCCCGAATGGGTTGTAACTTTCGTTTATATGGAGCCGACCTATGGATTCACGCCAAATTCCAATAATTTATTGTCGGTTAATGACGAAGATTTGCGTTTTTTTGCCGAGGGGAATCCCTGTGCTTGTTATGTGAAAATCAGAGTTTGGAATTAGAAGTTTATTTATACCGTATTGAGTTGCTCACGTCTACTTTTCTTTGAAAGGGAAGTTGGCAAATTGCCAGTAGTTAATTTGATATTGATAATTGCCTTTCTTCTCTCGTTGAATTAATTAAAGTAAATGTAGTCAAACCTCGTTATCTCAAACTCGATAGGACTGAGAAAAAACTTCAAGATATCCGAGGTTTCAAAAATCGAGGGTAAAATACTTAAAGAATAGGTGGCTTGGACTTCCAAATCAATTTGACATACCCATGGTACTCGAGATATCGGTGTTCGAAATACCAAAGTTTAACTGTAATTCGAATTTAACTGAAGACCGTATTATTTTTATAGTGAAACGACTGCTCTTTACACTTTCTTTGTATTCGTGCATTTATTCATTATACAGTCGAACCTTGTTATCTCAAAATTAAACGTCGAGGTATCCGAAGATTCATGATAACGAGTGTAAAAAAGATTTAGAAAACATGTTGGGACCGCCAGTTCACTTTGACATATCCATGGTATTCGAGATATGGGTGTTCGAGAAAACGAAGTTCAACTGTATAAATATTTTTATTGTTTAGAACGCAGTTTTTGAAACTACTTTTTTCTCCCACTCTGAAAATTTGAATGCCTGTCAACTTTTTTCCCTGAAGGCGTGAATTAATTTGTCATGTACCCTTAGCAATTTTATTCTAAAACAGTATAAAAAATAACGTTGTAATAATATGTGATATATAAGAATTTTAAACGTCTTAGTATTTAAATATAGCTCTTAATAAGTTGAAATAGATCGACCTCTTATCATAAACATCTAATCAACTCGAATTTTTATTATCTTCCAGATTTTTTTAAATTTCTATTTTTAAGCAGGGGATGCTCACTCCTCCATGGCCTCTCATATTTGTGGAGGTCCGTGTTTGCTCTGCTCCCGATTTGTATTGTCTAAATGAACTTTGAGCTTGAATAGTGTTCGTTATCTCCATATTTCATTAGAATGGATTAAATTATTTACATCCACTGTATATTATCTCTTTTTATTCTTATGAAAATCACGACCATTCATCAATACTTTAACGCCATAAGCAAGCCATCTGTATAGATTTCTTTAGCAGTGGCTCTTCCATCAACGAAACTTACAATGATGTACATATCAATAATGCAATATTTAAATAACGTACTTAATCCTATTTGTATGATTTTTATACAGACATTTATATAAACAATAAAATAGCTTTCTTTATTTCTTAGTACAGGTATTAACATTGCAGCTATTGCAGAAAAAAATTACATTACCTGCTTTAGCGAGTTATGTATTTTTCTGCAACAGCTGCAACAGTAATTTCCATACTAACAACCAAAGAAAGCATTTTATTGTTTAGATATTGTTGATGGCCCTGGAATTAATATTGAAATTTAAAATACTTATATAGCTGAGTTGCCAATTCATGATAGCTTAATTCATAACATAATCCTGTGCGATTATAGATTTATGCTTGTCTTTTAGATGTTACGAGGTTCCCACGGAGAAAGGTCTCGACCTCTCTCCTCCAATTTATTTAAAATACTTTATAAGACACTAAACATTTTACATACTCTAACAAGTAATAAGTGTATTTTAACGTATGCCTCGTCATATTCTCGAAGTTCTTTAAATGGGCCTGGTGCGCTCGAATATATTGACGAGTTCCCCGCGTTAGAAAATTCCCGTCGCTTAAATTAATTACTGTCGTCGCCAATGTGAGCGGGGCGTCTTATGTAATGGACTTCAAGCTATTGTTGTTTTTTAATGACCATTTATGCAGCCTGTTAGTGTGTCTCCTTGCTGTGCTTGTAAATGATTGAATTGAATTTTTTTTTATCGCATTTAATATACCAGATTGAAAGTATTGTCTTCATAGATAAAATTTATATTTTTAAAATGAGAATACCTTGCACCTGGGCTTTACGTTCAATTTCCGTGTACTGATTGCATTGATTTTTTTAGTAAAAAAAAAAAACTGTCATGTTAATTAGGGGGAATGAAAAAAAGTCTCATTGAAGTAAAGCCGAGCGTAGAAATTCTCCTCCATCAAGAGAATCGAAGATTGTTATGCAATTACATCCATGTCCTTTCGGAATCAACCCCACCCCAGCAAATATAAGTCTAAAATTTAAAAAAAAATCTAAATATGTACTTGCTAAAAAAAATCATCTCGAAAGGATTATTTTTATCGATAAATAAACTGTGATTAATTTGAAGATGAATTTTCATCAATGATATATATATATATTTTTTTTTGTTGTTTTTTTTTAACTTTTGAAGAGGTCAAAAGAATGCGATAAATTCCTTAAAATTTCAACCTCAAATCAATACCGTAGATTCGTTTTGAACATGTATAATATGGTAACGAAAAGGAGTTAAATGCTTTACTTTCTTCTAATATGACTTCACACAGTATTTTCAATCCTTTATTCCTCTTGATATGTTCCTAGTATTCCCTTCAATTGAATAACATGCTCTTTATTTTTTTTTTAACCTTGTCAATGTTTTTGTAAAACATTATTTCACATAAAAACAATCTGCTACGATAGGCAATTTATCTCTTTCAAAGAAGTTGATAAATGACTTACTTGAAGAATCTTGGAACGATATTGACACGCACTTTGGAAATACTATTAACGACCAAAGACATAACTCCGCGGCGAAAATCGTCTTTAAGCAAGTGAACAATTCTGAAAACTAGCACCGCAAAGAACACACAGAGGTCAGTGTATTGAAAAAAGAAGCATGGTCAATACTTTCAGTCCTGTACAACAGCATCCAAAAGTCTTTTATTTCTGATGATACCAGCTTAAGACCTTTCTCGAAGTCACCAAAAGCACCAAAATCGTTAATCAGATGAGAGCTGAAAAGAAACGACGGAAAATTCCTTTGCAAATCGTTTATAAAAGATGTCCCTGCACAATTCGTTTTTTTTTAACGTGCCTGATCCATCATACAAACATAGCAGAATCTTTACAGTGTAGAATCGGGGAGAATTTGTTATTTTTCATATTGATTTTTGACGAGATGGTTGGGGGGACGGCCGCACTTCATACAACTATTGATTGCAAAGGCCTTCTATCATCCTATACGAAAGCCTTCTTCTTTTTTTAGCATATTTCAGTAATGGGACTTCCACTGTTCTTATATGCCTTCCTTTCGTTGGCAGATGAAAGATCCTATGGAACGTGGCCACAGCTAGGGCATGGGGACAGTGTGAAAACGACCTCCCCATGGGGAATAACGTGGTATCGGAAAAACTAGTAATTATGGGTTTAATTATAGATGCAGACACACGCATATGCAAGGATGTCATTAAATTCTAATA